ATAATGTTTCGAATCTAGAATTTTCTTCCGTAAATCTCTTTGTTACTAGCAATAGTAACATTAGTGACAAAAATTTAAATAGCGATATTTTTTTTTTGTGAACATTTAAACGAAATTACGATTGAAAGAATTCGAGGTTACGGCGTCTAACATTTTAGCACGACTTGATTCAAAAGTGATTGTTTGCATTATCTGAGCTGATTATAATGCGTGCCGAACTGGAAAAAAAAACTGACCTTCAGGGAAATTTACTGATCACGTGCCACTGTCCATTTAAAAACTGTATTAAAATTTTCTCCAACGCAATTTCCCTTTTTAATTTCATGTTATTAAACTATATAAATTATTTTAACTATGTATTCATTTAATGTTTCATCAGAGGACTTACCTTTCTCTTATAAACACCTGTTACTTGAACACTAAGCAATATATTGATAATACTATCTGGCTATCAGGAGAGTTCCTCCAGATATCATTCGTGTTTCTGTGGTCCACACATCGAATACGGATGTGGTGTTAACTGTTTCGTATTGGTTTAGATTGGAAGACTCTTGTTATATCTTAAATTCTTTCTCATTAGAAATTATGTAACTCTAGTTACCTTAGCAATAGTCAACGTTAGATTTTCAGTGGGGAGTTCTCGTGATAGCTGAATAGTAGTGACTCCTCTTACTTTGTTTGTATCGACTTTTAATTTTTTCTTATAACTCAGTTTGCTACATTACGCTATTTTTCTTACTTTGAGAAAGTAATGTCTTTTGTATTTGACAAAATCTAGCCACTTTTGGCTATTGTGCAATTAAATTTTTATTCAATTATAACCAATCTCTTTATTGCCTAGATTTAACCCTTATAAGCTGAATTTTTATAAAACATATTTTTCATACTTTTTTTATTATTTTGTATTAATTTAAGACAAAATAATTAAAATTATTATATTTAGTATTTTAATAATTTAAGCTTATGAAATACAGCATAAAACACTGGTGTCTTTTTCTGTGTAAAGATAAAATCTTCTAAGCATAGCTGACTTCCAATTTTTTTCTTCAAATTTGCACTTATTTAGATTTAAGAGAAACATTTATTCATCATTGAAATTTCTTTTATATTTAAAATCAATTATTGATAAATTTATGTATATGAATGAAAAAAAATGTCAAGCTACTTTTTTTAGGTTTCATATTTCAGTACAAATATAATTCCGATAATCTAACAGATGTTTTTTTATTAACAATTGGAGTATTTTTTTTTAATATTTAAAAATACCAAAACATATTTTTACTTGCAACTAGAGTGTCAGACAAAAAATGTACGAAAGGGTGTTTCATCTTTGTTAAAGGATTAAAGCATGACTGTTCATTTTCAATGCCACCCTAACTAGTTGTATATCCATATTTAATGCTGGTATTTATGAAATATTTGTAGATTTTAATTTTGAAATTTATTTTACTTCCTAAAACAAATGGTCATATTTAATATTTTCTAAAATTATATAGAAATTAATTTAAAATAGCATTATTAATGCTCAATAATAGTTTTTTAAGAATTGAAACACTAAATCTCTAAAACATTACAACCAAGTGTGGTGTTTATCTTATTAAAATTGATTATCATGCTGGTAGATTTGTAATAAATAATTGAGTAGTTATTGAAAAATTAACGAACTATATTATTCATTAGTTAATTCTAAAAACTTTAAAATTAAAATAAGTTTTATGCAAAAAAGTTTAATTTGAGCAAAGGAATAAAAAGGAAAAGAATAGATCCCCTGAAAAAATAACTTATGATAACTTATCACGAAAGAAACATAAAATAGAAATTTTCTCAAACAATATGTATCGATATCAAGAAATGTTGGATAAATTAAATTATAGAATTTATAAAAAATATTTCTGTTCTTTAAAATTCTGCAAATTAAAATAACGTTTTTATCGTAATAAAATTGAAAGTTGTATCATGTACTGACATTATGAGTATCAGAGATAGTGTATAAAACTTCTTTGTTAGGATAATTGAATCAATCCGATTTGAAATAAATTGATGCACTTTCATTTGGATCTACTGTGTATCCCGATGTTGCAAAGATTCTGGTTCATATTTTATTTAATGAAGTGAAACTTTTGCGACTGGTATTTGTCAATTTTTTTAAAGTGTTTAAGTCTGAGACTTTCTTATGGTATTATATACAGTGGTATAAAAAAAACGATCGACGATTCGAAAAATAATTAATAGAATAAAAAGGTGAATTGAAAGGTAATAGTAGTTGTCCCACTAAAGCTGCACAATGAACTGTTGGATACTGTCTGGAAAACATCCCTGAGGATGATTCCAAGACATGCAATCACAATTTTGATCCTCTTCAGAGGGGATGACTCCTCCGCTTTGTTGGACCGACGACCTGCGCACGAAGTCGAGCACTTTACGGTAGTACAGTTTAACGGGGAATGGGGATCTTCATTCTCTGCGCAGGCTGATTAAAATGGTTATCCAGCCCCACACTGACCAAAGTTGGTGATGTTTGTAGAAGTTTCTAAAAAACACAAGATTGTATGCTTTCCTTTAGACATTTTTTTTTTATATATCGAAAACCTTCTTGAAAATTGCTCATGTGCGATAAATACTTAAAGGTAGATTACATTACAACATGAGTTCACACGCACGAACACACGAATTTTAGCTCGACATCCTCCTTGTTTACTTTATTTATTACTTTACTTTGTCTTCGGCAACACTATTCGGTCCCGCTGTGCTACACTGTACTCCATTTTTTTAAAAATAACTTTAATTTTTTCTTTTGTTTCATGTTATTTGTCCCTTTTTCAATGAAGGAATTTTTAAACTTATCAGATCTCAACATTATAAATTCTGACTTTTCTGCTCAAGTTTTTGTATCAGATTTTGATACCGTTTGTTTGCGATATATATATCTGCTCAANTATATATATATATATATATATATATATATATATATATATATATATATATATATATATATATATATATATATATATATATATATATATATATATATATATATATATATATATATATATATATATATATATATATATATATATATATATATATATATATATAAAATCTTGTATTTGATTCCTGCGGTCATTAAGATCTATAATTAATTAAAGTCATGAACTCTAACAACAGTTAATTATAAAGTATTTGAGTCTTTAGATTTTAGCATGCTCCAGAATTCAATTTAATATCATAAATTCTTAAAATCATCTTATTGTAAATAATGGTCAACTTTTGTGCATAGCAGTCAACACATTTTTAAATATTGCTCAATATTTTAGAAACTATACAGTATCACAAAATTATTTACAAGGTAATACGGAACTAACTTGTGTAAAAGTCATACGCAGAGACAAAAAAAAAGTATAAATTTTATTTCAGTAAGAGTAAACTTAATTATTCAAATTTGTTGCATACTGATTAAATTAGAGAATACCAAATGAAGTTAATAACATGCATTAGAAAATGAATTTTAAAGTATAAGTTTATTGCATTAGAAAAACGCTGATTAAAAAAACAATTTAAATAATTGGAAGGAGGAGGAGTCCAATCCTTGTTCTTGATATGAAAAAGTACTAAAATGTACGAGTATAATTTTATTTCATTCAACCGCTGACTTATTATTAAATAAATTCTAGTTTTAAACGCATTTTATTCATATATTTTAAGCGAGAAAAACACAAAAGTTGATTAAACTCTGACATTAGCGTTTTAATATATTAATCTTAACACAAATTTTCAGAAATCAAACTTTTTTTCTTTCAGGAAATGACTGTGGGTTGAAATTTCTCAGCATAAAAAAGACGTCACTCAAAACATTTAAAATTTTAAAGTCTAAATATTTAATAACTTTATATTCAGCGGCAATTTGTTGTAAAAAAAAGACACAACGAGTTGTGGTTTGTAAATTCAAGGACATAGCAATCAACTAATAGCAATCAGTCGCTGCAAGCACATACTGCGATTACAATAAGCTAACATACGAAATATCTCAGAAATTACTTGGGATCAAGATTATAAACTCAATAAAAAAAATCTGATTGAGCAGGAAAAATCTATTTTCTTTTATTTACCAATTTGTACTTGTTCCAATAGATACCAAGTTCCAAGTACGTCGTTATTTTTCAAATGATTATAACATTCGTTGCACATCCTACCCAATTTTTTGGGTTTATGACGTCTAATGCTTAACTTCGAAGTCTTGTAATTTTGAACCCAATCCAGAAGACAAGGGAACTCCTCTCTCTCCAGCGTTGAGAGAAATTTGCCTTTCGTGGAAGATTTTTTGGTGGAACTGACCCTCATTTGCGTTACATGGTGAGGAAAACTACGAAAACCTCTCACGGTAAGCCTGACTGCAAGGGGACTCTAACCCATAATTCGTCGACCACTGAGGATATTAGGATATTTTACGTCAGCATTGTGATCGGTATAAGCCGTATGCGGCAAGCCTCAGCAATCGACCAGTCAACGCTGGGATGGATTCGAACGTTTTATCCCCTGAGCCTTCAGGGCTCTGTTTAAATGCTTACCAAGCTCCCAACTTCCAAATAATTGTTTAAAAAATTACAAAGTTTAATTGCATCTTTCAATATTTAATAGTGAACCGTAATAGACTGATTGTTAAGACACGGTTTGAGGTAGATCACCAAAGTCCAGCATCTCCAACAGCAGTCAGTGGGCGGGAGGGGAGCCACTTTGAACAGCATGTGAAGGAAGGTGTGCGGTATCAGTCCTCGTTAAACTGTTCTACCCTAAAGTGCTTAACTTCTTGTGCAGGTAGTCGGGTTATAAAAGCGGGGGGAACCATCCCCTCTGCAGAGGATCAAAATTGCGATGGCATGTCTTTGGATTATCCTTAGATATTTCCCAAATCATCATCAATTGCTCATTGTGAAGCTCTAACGTGACATAAATTACTACTACTACTCTAATGTATATTTTTAGGTTTTAGGATAGTTTTTTAGAGATTAAACTTTAATTTTTTTCCTGTTTATTTTTTAGTGACGAATTATGGAACTGATTGGCACGTATCTGAAGCATCTATCAGTTCTCCATACAGAGCATTTTCCAGAGAAAAGCTGTTCGCTGATATAAGTGTCAGGATAGGCTTAAGCAGTGTTAATGTAACATTACAAGGTAAGCTCTAAAAATATACTAAAAAAAAATAACTGAATTGATTTTTTATAAATGCATGCAAAGTGTTCCTCAATCAACACCCTTAATATACAGAGTATAACAAAGGTATCCATCAAAAAAGAGGGGATAAAACTGACAAATAGTTTTAACGAAATCTGACGAATCACTAGTAAAATCAGTCACTGTAAAAAGAGGTATTAAAATTATAAGTGTCTTTTTAGATTTTTGATAAAACTGAAAAGTGATTTTAATTTTTCCTTGAATTTTGCTCATTGAGCTTTTGAAACAGATCTAGTTAAATCTAGTTTAAGATGTATGACAGTATTTTTAGATTTAAAATTTAGGTCAAATACGAAAATCTTTTTTAGAAACATCAGAAATTGTTAATCTTCTGAGCAAACCACAAAGAAGCCTTTACCAGTTGACAACACGTAATATTAATTAAACATGCATTTTTTTTTACCCGAAATCGATTTTTCAAAGTATATTATGAAAATCTTAATTTTTACCCTAAGTTTGTGTATAAATAATTAACATGATAAAAATTTAAACTTCTTTAAAATTATTTTATAAAATTTTGTTGCATAATATACACATTTTGCCGATATTTTGATTGAAAATGAAAAATAAGATTACCAAAATGTAGGTTAAATTAAATAATTGCGTAATTGTAAAGAATTTTCAGCTTTCGAACTTCTAAAACTAAGTATATTTTCGAATATCCTACATTTCAAATAATACATCATCAACATAAATTGAAAAAAACTAAGCCCTAATTAAATCTTGTATTGAAAATTAAAGCATGTTTTTATAATTTTCACTTCTCGCTACAATCTTTTAAATCCTATAATTATCGAAATTTTTAAAAGCATTGACGAAATCATATGGGTCAGTCAAGGAATTTATTTAATCAAATGACATATTAAAAAAATAACTAACACAAATTTCAAAACTATTAATCTCACGTCTGGTGGTTGCATAAAGTGTTTATGCGTAATCTTTTATTCTACAAAATCCTTTCTCACACTTTCATCTAAAATTTAATTTCCCATTTTTTCCATTAAAAAAGCGGATGACGGTAACGCCCGAACAATGTTAGGTTAATGTTTGAACACACCTTTCTTTCTTTTTAAACAATTGTTGCCCACCACGCATAGCTATAATCTCAAAGAATAATCGTTTTATTTATGAAAAATAAAAATATTTGAAAAGTATCGAAAATTTGCATTTTTTTCTTTCCTCGGCTGCATCATCACGGATACGCCCCTACATCATAGAAATTTTGAATCTATACTTTTTTTAAATTATTTACTTTTGATGATTTTGCTTTGTTTGCTCTCCGTAAATTAAAATAAATAAAAAAATAACCTGAATCGATTGAACCCGAAGAAAAATACAGTTTTAAACTATATTTCGTAATATGCTCACACATTTTTATAAAATATCTGAATATGCTCTAACTTCCTATCGATGAAACAAAAATGTCAATAAATGGATTAATTATTTGATTGACATTTGGAACAATTTTTTGAACTGTCATTTTTAGTCTATTTTTTGTCGAAATGTACAAGTTCAAGAAAGTCATTTATAACAAGGGGTCGCTTAAATGTTGAGACTAACTTCTATGATAATTAGGGCAAATCATCAAGATTAAAATTAGCATGAAAATATCTTCCTTCACCGCTCGAGTCGCTACCCTATAATGAATTGTTTATTCGTGTGCTACAAAATAGGTCGTAACACAGGGTAGGCAACTTCTTTCAGCTTTTTGTAAAAATTCATTCTAGTGTTAGCTATATCTGTAGTTTAATGTATTATTTTTTATTTATTTAAACTTATTTTCCAAATGTTCATGAGCAGCGCCACTTTGTACCAGCTCTTTCATAGTGAGGCTTTCGAAGAGTCGGTAAAAATATCAAATTCTGAAAACTTTGGTTTTTAAATGTCTAGCACTTGATAAAATATTTTGTAAAAAGCATAGTAGTTGGCAGGCCTGATAATAGGAAAGAGTGGCCTAGCCGCGCCCGATGACATTTCCGGTTTCTACGCAACTTTAATCCTGACGAGTTTTAACTCGCCTAAAATTTCGTTGCAACATTTCTGAGACCTTCTGTTATATATAACGTTTTAAAACATATACATTTCGATTTTAAAAAAAATTAGCCAAAAATTTAATTTTAAAAAAATCCGTAGCCTTCGGAGCTAAATTACTTTCAGAATTGAAATCCCTTCCATCGAATTGGGCAAAATCAAGTATTAATCAAGTATTATCAAATAAATGCAACAAATTGTTCTCCACTGTAATCTGCAATCCTGCTTAAAATTTAAAGACCTATCCTTTACCATCACAAATAAAGAAGTTGAAATAATTTGAATACTTTCTTATTAATATTATTCGTTGCCTTTTTCGGTGACTTTACCGTTATTACGTTAAGCAAAACAAGTTTTTAGATGTTCGGTCAAAATAATGATTACCTTTTCGCAGTGTCATTCGGTACAGAAAATGATGCTATTACTCGCAACAAACCTACGATCGCTAAAATTCATAGTAATTTCTTCAACGAAGTGATTTTTTATATTAAATTTTGCCTTTATACACAACTCACTTTATTAAATTAAATTAATTCGTTAGATTCTGCTTCGGAAACTTGAGTTTTTCATTATTAAGTTTACTACCGGGTGCACCAAAAATAACCAATGATCAAAAAAATAAAAAAAAAAATAGAAAAAGAAATATAAATGTAAGTTTTATTTTTTGACAGGGAAATTAAAATTAGTTATAAAGTTTATAGGCTAATTTTGCGGCTGGGTGGAAATGCTAATAGCTATGATTATTCATTTGTAAGTTGGGTGATCTAGTTTCCTAAACAGAACGCAGTATAAATTTGTATTTTCTTCTATGTTAATTTTATTGCTTTTTCCAAAGTTTGGTTATTTTTGGGATACCTGGAGTATAAGGCTTGAAAAACTCTTAGAAAAGCAATGAATTTCTCTCCAATTACATTAAGAATATCTGTAAAGCTTCCAAAGATTTTTAAAACAATATATTTTTTAAAAAAATTGCAGTTTACTTTATAATTAAAACCCTGGATGCGTAGTCCAGGAGATAGGTACACCAAGTCTTTACTACCATAATGGAAGAGAAACTTTCAGTTTTTGGCACATTTTTTCAAATTTCCCAGAAGCATGAAACACATTTTATAACTTAATAGGTGTTTTGGTCATGCGATTTCTCATACTCATGAATAAAGTTTAAATCTTTCAGAGGTTTGAGGGACAAGCAATTAATTACTAACGAAAAAAAGTGTTTCTGAATTACCTATGCTTAAAACAAAAGCAAAAAACTTGCAAATTGTATCGATTACTTTGAATATCATATGCTATTGCGGCAAGAAATTTCGTTAACCTAGTTTAAATATTCATAGAGGTATGCTGACAGTTTTATAAACTAATATTTTTGCATTACGTTTTCTTTATAAAATTAAACAATTTTTTTTGAGAATTAATTAATAACAAAAACATTATTTTAAAATTTGAAAGGAATTTGTTAAAAAATTAGATAAGATGTTAGTTAAAAACCAGATAAGATATTAAAGATGCTGGCATTTAAATTAGTCCTTTCATACTTTATCCTTCCATACTTTATTTTATTCATTAAAATTTATTCTTTTGAATCTAGTCACCATGTTTTAAATTTTTATGCTGTAAGTATTTTTATTGCTTGTAAAGTTTATAAATACTTACTGTGTTAATAGTTAAAGCTTAGCAAAATTTAGAATACATTTCAATGAATAAAATAAAACAAAAAATAGAAAAAACTAATTAATTTATAAGTGCAAAAACAGCATCATACATTAAAATGAAAATAGTCCTCTTACTCTCTGAATAAAGTATCAATGCAAAAAAAAATTAGGAAACAAAAGAACAGAGTTACATTAAAACTTTTAGATTATATAAAAAAAGAATTTAAATACGCCGAAAATATTTGCAATGATATAAAACATTCCATACTGGTTAAACACGCCAATTATATTTTCATTGATGAAACTTCCTATATGTCTGATTACATAAATCCATTTCCTTTTCATTGATAAAATATTAGTAAATATACTCACGTGTGTAACTAGTCTATAATTATTCATGTTGTGTAAGATCTGTATAATCAATCTAATGAATCACTTCGTGGAATAAAATATATCGATTTGATTTCTGCTTTAATTTCATTAATCACCGTATAAACAAAAGACAAAATAAGATTGATTCACAATCAAGGACAACTGTGGTCTGAATTTATTTCGAATGACAAATGGACATACCGCGGTTAATTATTCACACGAAACACATATTTAAATTTGCAATACAGTTATGTAACGGCAACTATTTAGATTTCGGGCAATTATTTACCATCCATTTTAATTAAAAACTTGTTCTTGTAAGATTCTTGTATTCTATTCTTTTATCTTTTCATGACCGATGATAGTTATTATTTGCAGCTGCAAATTCCTCTTTTCTTTCCCTTTAGTCAGTTCAATCAATTGTCAACAGTAATATATATTTTTAATTTTAAACTGTTTGTGTACGCAAATTATTTTAAATATTTAAAAAAAAATTTTAAATACGTTTTTATAAAATCTCTAATTGGCAGGATTTTTCCACTTTGATGAAAATTATTAAAATCCATGAAAAATTCTCAATTTTTGTATATTTTTATAAGCCCAAACAGTAGCATAAATTTTAAAACTTTATTTTTCGGAATGATATTACAGTTTAACGTTGAGAAGGCGTGTTAAAGGTTTTTGTTTAGAAAAACGGAAAAGCTTTAATTTTAAACTAAATGTACTATCTTGTAAAAAAAAATATCATGACTTTAAAAACGAAAAAATGGTTTAAATATTTAGCAATTTAGTAAACTTTTGTTTTTAAAATGGCCGATTTAGCATGATTGTTCCACCAAGATGAAATGTCAATATATTTTTATAATGTTTGCTTTTTCATATGAGCACAAAAAACATCATTTATTGTCGTAACTTAAATATCAAAAATATTATAAACGTTCTTTTTCTCAAAATTGGAACTTGTCTTCCTCTTGATATTTTCTATCTCTTTAGTAAATAGTATAGATATCGTTGACTAAAGATGAACAGAAATTAACTTTATATTTTGTGCCATTTTTAAAATCAGAATATATATTACTGGCTAGAGATGGACAGAACTTACCTGATATTTTGTGCTATTTCCGTAATTAGTATAGAGAGTGCTAATTAGGGAAGAACAGAAATTAACCTGATATTTTGTGCTATTTCCATAATTAGTATAGAGAGTGTTAATTAGAGATGAACAGAAATTAACCTTATATTTTGTGCCATTTTTAAAATCAGAATATATATTACTGAATAGAGATGAACAGAACTTACAAGATATTTTTTGCTACTTCCATAATCAGTATAGAGTGCTATTTAGATATGGACAGAACTTAACCTTACATTTTGTGCTATTTCCATAATTAGTAGAGAGTGCTAATTAGAGACAGACCGAAATTAATCTCATGNCAATAATTAGTATAATGAGTGCTAATTAGATATAGACAGAACTTAACCTTATATTTTGTGCCATTTTTAAAATCAATATATATATTACTGACTAGAGATGGACAGAACTTACCTGATATTTTGTGCTATTTCCATAATTAGTACAGGAGGGCTAATTGGAGATGAATAGAAATTAACCTTATTTTTTCTGCCATTTTTAAAATCAGAATATATATTACTGACTAGAGATGAACAGAACGTACCTGATAATTTGCGCTATTTCCATAATTAGTAGACTGCTAATTAGAGACAGATTGAAATTAACCTCCTGAATAACTGTTACAAACTCACAACCCTTATAAAAAGATCATAATTCTAAAAGAAACATTGACTCATTTGACCAGGGCTTCAAGGTAGTTAAGTGCTTTGTTACAATGTATGGAAATACCCTATCTTGTTATTCTCTTTGTAAGCTAAGTTTCGAATATAATTTACTTATTAAGGGCAGCAATAACGAAAAACCATTATGCAAGATTTTAAACTTTCATTCTTGTATTGTATAAAGATTACTATAGTAAACAAAAAGGTAAATCTCAGCCTGTCGATAATAACTCATCATCTCAAGAGCTATAAAACAATCGATATTATGTAGTATTCTAAATATTTATGATATTTTAAATATCTTCAAATAGTTTAACTCCAGTTGCTAGTATTGAATTAGATGCTAAAGTCCCGGCTGTTTCTATTTTATTTGTTATGAGTTTAAAAATTGTTACTTTCTTGCTAAAATTAATTCATAAAATTCTCACTGAATAACACTGAAGCATAAAAGAAATTATAAACAAGAGAATTTTTATATATAATTGATTTTAAATGCCTAGAAGTTTTAAGTGGTATTCTGGAGAATTTGGGCAAATTAGCGTTATTTATTATGTTGACTTATGCTTTGTTTATATTTTTTTTTATCCTTTTTAATATGTTGCTAAGAAAACAGGTTTTCTATACCTACTTTCATTGTCAACTACACTTGGTGCTTTCTTTCCCCGAAAAACGCTCATAGGCAGTCAGTACTTTCATTTATTTAGCTCCCGAAATTTAATACTTAGCAGAATCAATGATGTTGTACAGTTAAAAAAAAGACCAAAATAGCATCTTTGCCCACGAAATCTCAATTTTTTTCATAAATGTTTCTTAAAATCTTCGTCCTCTAAATTTTTTTTCTGTCATTTATTGATCTGAATAAAAATTTAATGTGCCAAATATTAAAAAATATTTCTTTTTCTTGCTTTTCAGCTAAACCAATTCACAAGAATAGTGATGACATAAACTATAATGAAAGATTTGGATGGATGGGACGTAAGTATAAGAAGTATCAACGGAAATTTTTTAAACATTCTCAGAATATCTGAGAATCATAATGTCGGTACCCTTAACCATTATATCGCTCATTTGGTGAAACAATGACGTAACTGCAAAATCAAGTTACGTCATTGTTTCACCAAATGAGCGATATATAGAACACTTTATTCCAGCTAAAATATCGAAAGAGATGTTAAAAAAAATAATAAAAAAGAAAATAAATAAATAAAAAATTAATCCGAATTTATCCTTTTTTTGCCATTGGTCGCTGTTTTTCAAAGGAAAAATTATATTTTTGTATCGCTCATTTGGTGAAACAATGACGTAACTTGATTTTGCAGTTACGTCATTGTTTCCACAAATGAGCGATATGGTGCAAATTTGCTGTAACCTTAATAGACTGTTAAATTGAATCATGTTTCTGTTCAAAGTTAAAAGTAGCATCGCGTTATAAAATTTAAAATTAACGGCAATATTTTTTTAATTTAGCACCATATTTTGGGTCTCAGCAGATTCGAACAATATGTTATAATTAAAAATGCTCTAGAATTTCTATTAATTATGCATGCTTGCTATTTTTATTATTATAATAATTTTGCTAAATTACTACTGCAACTTCATCCTCAGACTTGTTTTTGAATATCTAATTTAGTCTTAAATCACTATAAAACCTCGCTAAATCTTTTTCGCTTAAGAGATTAACTTTTAATGGTGCGAGAAGTTAATTCTTAATATTGTTTTAGAATTATAAAGTTATCTTCTTTTCTTCATTTTATTTGAGTACGTAGACTAAGCACAGTTTTCCACATAATTTTTTGTAAAAGAAAAGATAAATTATTGTAAAAGTAAATATTATTTTTAAAAAAAAAATATTTTTTTCGAATTAACAATTGTTAAATTGTAGCAAAATACCTTTATCACAAATAAGCTAAGATCACAGATAAGTTCTATCACAGATAAGTTTTATCACAAATATTTTAGAGCTACTTTATAATGCTATAAAGCAGAGGGCTTCACACTGGGTTCGGTGCAGCATTTAGCACTGCAGAGAACATTTTCCAGTGCTTATCAAAAAAGTAGAAAATGTTTCAAATTAAAAAAAAAAAAAATTATAAAAAACCGTGGTGGCTCAGGGGATAGAAAGTTTGAATGAGATAAGCTGGGCTCGAATCCAAGCGATGGCAAGTAGATGCGAATTTCATGACAAATATATATATATAATCCTTCAGGAAAAGGTTATAAAATTGAGTTGTTAAGGGTCACAAATTGATATTTTGGCCCGGAAAAAGCTAAAACGCTATCGAAATTTGTCGAATCACTAGTGAGAAAAATTGGATAAAAGCCTTCAAAACCAGTTTGAGTGCCTGATAGAACTTGATTTTGTTTCTAATAATCTTCTCTGCCTAATAGAACTTGGTTTTGTTTCTAATGATCTTCTGTGCCTGATAGAACGTGACTTTGTTTCTAATGATCTTCTCTGATAGAATTTGGTTTTGTTTCTAATAATCTTCTCTGTCTGATAGAATTTGGTTTTGTTTCTAATAATCTTCTCTGCCTGATAGAACTTGGTTTTGTTTCTAATAATCTCTGCCTGTTTCCTCCAGCCATCAAGAAGGCTTCATTTCGGCCTCCCTCGGTCAACCACAATTACACTTCGATTACGTTTTTGTTTTTTCTTAGGCTTAAATATTAATTAATAAATACTAATGTGTATATTTGTTATAAAAATTTGCAATAAATAACAAATAATGAAACGTTTAAACTGTTTCTCAATTTTTCCCCCAGTTTTTTTCTTTTCTTTTTTAAACTTAGTTGCACTTTTTTTTCAATTCCCTCTTGTATCCTTGTTTGTGAAACTGTATTACTCATTTTCTTTCTAATCCTACTTTTCAAAGCAGCTAGGCAACTTCAGATGGAGTTTCGAGAAGCGTTAGTGAAAGGCCTGCCTTTCCCCATTTTGACCATAGCTGAATATCTTAGTCAAAATATGGAAGGATTCTCATGGGGTGGAAAGTACCGGAAAGCTGGATACTATACTTGCATTCTACTGTGGTAACTTTTATTTTTGAAACATATGTATGTAGTACTCACATTTATTTTTTAAATTCAATGGATTTCATTTCATTGTAATGATATTATCGAGATTTGCAATGGAATAATCCATGCTAAGTATAATAAAAACTGTCTAATGCTTAAGCACAATACAGATATAGGTTTGAAAAAGTTATATTGTCTGAGTAGTAATGTCCTTTTAAAATAAAGCATGTTACATCTTAAATAACTTTTCAGTTAATGATCTCATTTTTGATTACTACAATCTAGTCCTATTGGATTAATTAAAAACATAAAAAGTTTTCTTTTTTAAGCATTCAGATATCTTACTTCAGAAAAATAAGGCAAAATCGCTATCTGGAAAGGAACTAGTCCCAATATTTAATAAAGAGGTTAGTCAAGATGTTAGATTCCTTAAATACGAATTCAAAATTTTAGTGAACTATGTTAAATAGTTTTTCCTGTCTATCAGTTTATAAATGTTCGTAAAACTTGGATTTTTCACGTAATAATATGAATGAACAAAAATTAACTGTCCATGCTGTTGTTTTGATAACCTCAATACGCATTAAAGAAACAGATAATTTTTATTCATGGGCAGCTTCTATGCACTTTTTATTTTCTGATTTTAGCTGTTCTTTCATATCCTTTAAAAAAATTAGGTTTATTTTTATGAATTATTACCCTCTGGCTCGCTGCAATGCCACCAATATGAATTGTATTTAAAGGAAAATAATTCACATCATTTTAATGTGGATATCTGCTCACATGTTAGGGGGAAAAATTAACAATTTCACATTTCGTGGTAAATATGCATATTCAAACGTATCTGGACACATAATGTTCTTTGCTCCTAAACAAAATCTTCACAATGACACCAAGTAAAGATTTTTATTTTTGTCTGAACACTCGTGCGGTAATATCAAGATGATCCAATGACAATTGTTCAGGTAGCAAGTTCTTTAATTTAATCTCACATAATATTGCATGTGAATATAATTAATAAATCTGGGTGTCCATATGCGCGAACATGTGTCATTGCATCATATGATTATTCATACATGTGCCTTGGAATCAGTAAATGTTACCGGCAGTAGAATAATTTTCCCAAAATCATTTGGATCAATGTTATCATCATTAGTTAGTGTATCCCTTAATCAAATGCATTCTTCCGAACGCAATTTGATTCGATTTATTCTAATATAGAGGAAGCGTTTGGTTTCATTTTTCACATACATATCGGTAATGTACTAATGAAATAATTGTCCCCATTTTAAGATATGATTTTCAACGATTTGGTGAATCATTATTTTATATGCCTCGAAGCTTTTATTTTGCTGGTTCATTAAATTTTGAGATATCTCTATGATATGCCTTGTAGTTGCTGCCTTGTGATGATTGTTTTATGTACGAAATGCCTGATAAGTCACTGTCTGTTTCTTCCAAACAGGACAGCCTTTGCAATGTGGATGCTGATGAACATTCTTCTATGCATGGTTCCTAGATACGGCGCTTACATGATGTTTTTGACTGGAATTCTCATTCTGTGCTGTAATGGCTTATACACCCTGTTGCTGCCAAAGGTGCCCCTAATTATCCACTTCGAATCCCAGGTGTTGCGCTTCACATATGGTTGGTGCTTTTGGCTTCTCATGAGCGCAGGTAAGCAAGCTGCACCAAAAGTGTGTTTTAATTTGCATTTGGAAAAAGAATTGGAAAGCTTGTACTTTATAACATATGTAAAACATTTTTAGATATTTGGTTGATTTTTTTAAAACTTTTAATGACAAATACATTTGGATTGTAATATGGCATGCACAGTGCATAAAAAAATAATAATAAACTGACAACCCTGAATAACTTTTGATCTAATGATCGATCTAGTACTCAATCTTAAGAGTTCAAGGGGGTGACCTCAAATATGCCAATTAATTAGTGCAGAAAATGCTCTCAGGAATTATTAAACAGATTTCGCTAAAATTTTGTGTTTCGCCACATAAAATTACATTCTGTAAGATGACGAAAAAAATTACGCACCTTACAATTAAAAAATTTTTTCGATAACAATTTAGAAAAAATTATGAATAAAAATAAATCTTTATTAAATTATAATTTGCGGGGAATTATCTTTGGATGAACGAATTTTGTAATTGTGTGGAAAGATTTCTCAATTCACTTCAAAAGTGCTCGAGCTGTGGTGAAATACAAAAAAAGTAAAACTAACATTAAGAGGTCAAAACTTTGACCACTCTCCTGACCAAACTATGGGGACCCTATTTCCCAGATTGCTGCTACCCTCTATATTTTGAAAGTCAGAAATCTGAATCCGTTTTAAAAAAAGGCATGTTTAGTCAGAGAAAATAAGTTTTTGTGTCCAATTTCGTAACTTAAAATATTATCTGGACTAATTAACAAGCATATTTGAGGCCACCCCCACGAACCATTATGATTGAGTCCTAAAACGTGAGCATCCAATTATTAAATCAAAAATTATTCAGGGTGGTGAGTTTTTTCCCTTTTTTTGGCAACGTATGTCAACATGCATGCTGGATTATATGTAGTGCGTAAGACAGAAGTTGGTCATCGTTCGCTTCACTTGAAGGATTGAAATATTTCTTAGAAATATCCATACTTACATTGAAAAATATTGACTTTAAGTGTGCAGTAATGAGGAATAATATACATATAAAAAATCTTGCATAAAATATCTTAATTTCTCACTTATACCAAAGATTTAGATAGTTAGCATGCACTGATGACGAGGTTGTAACATTTCATTTTTTCACATTTACCAGCAGTGCATGCTGAACGTCAACATTTTTTAATAAAAGAGCTTAATAACTGTATTTAACAATAATTTTGGATTTCCATTGTATCATGAAGGCCTCATTTGAATTGTCACCCAAAAGCCACTTACTTAAAAAAGGGAGATAGTCATATTTATGTTCCTACAAGTCATTTCTATATTATGTTAAAACTTGTGTACACTTCCNTCAACATTTTTTAATAAAAGAGCTTAATAACTGTATTTAACAATAATTTTGGATAAAAAAGGGAGATAGTCATATTTATGTTCCTACAAGTCATTTCTATATTATGTTAAAACCTGTGTACACTTCCAGTTAATTTTTGCTGTTAAACAGTCAAGATAAGACAAACAGACACCGCAAATAGGACAAGATCAGAAAAATAATACATTTATTAGACTTTAGGCTCTGCATTTCAAAATATGACAAAATTGCTCCCTTAAATAAGGATTGCATGTCCCAACTTTGAATTTATATATAACAGTCCATGAAATTTACCTAAGAAGTATTGATACTTATCAACTTATACGGGCCATTATTCTTGAAAATACTACGCTGTCATATCTACCTATTAGTTTCAAAAAGTAATAAAATGAGTATCAATTTAATAATAGCATTTTTTGCAACATTATTTCACTTATTATAATTTGCTGGACAAAAATTTCACTTATATTTTTGTAACATATTACGTATACATACTGATAATTAACCTCAGATAATTATATTTATTTCATATTTTCATTTGTAAAGATGGTATTCGAAATTTAAAAAAAAATCATAAGCTGAGAAGCTTTAAGAAAAATACTTTTTGTTTACCGAAATGAAGACTTTTTACTAAATGTTAAAATACTGCTGGAAACTTTAGATACTTTGCTATGAATACGGTCAAAGATTTAACAGGTCCAACAGAATTTACAAAAATTATATATATAATATATATATTTTAAAATATATATGTTTTAAAATATATATGTTTTAAAATATATATATTTTAAAATATATACTTTTTGAATTTGAGATTTTTATTATTTTTGTATCAGTATGTAACTTCTCCTTTTTTTATTTTATGAGCAATAAGTGCCAAAAATAACTTATTACATAATATTCTGATTTTTTATTTATTATCATCATCATGATCCATATCTAGTAAAAATACATTAGCGAATTTTATTTCGAAGAGAATTTAAATTTGCGTACATTTTCTCAATGTTAAAAAGGTAAATGGTATTTTTAATGGTATGGACTAATGGTATTGTTAAATGTATGCCTTATTTTGTTTTAAATGGGTAAATTCAGGCTTTTATTTAGTTTATAAAGTTAAATACGAGCTTTTATTGGGATAAGCTCCTTTCTCATAGTTTTAGGAACTCTACTTACAACCATTAGGGCTGTTAAAAGTGTGCTCTAATTTATTTTATGAAGCAAAATGCGTGATTTTAGTTAATAAAATTAAATACAAGCTTTCATTAAGCTATTTATTAGAATTTTAGAAATACTGTCTGCAATCGTCGTGACTATTAAATGCAAGTCTTAATTTTTTTTTAAAAAGTTGAATACATGGTTTAAGTTTAATATTTAAATTTATTATTCAATTTGTAGCAAAATGTATGTTTTCCCTTTGATTTGCTCTTTTCTAATTGTTTTAGGAATGCTGTCCACTATTGTTGGCCTCGTGATGTCCCTTTTAGATAATTTCTATCCAAACAAGTTCTCCACGATTTTTGAAGTGGATTATGACACACCATACAGATATTTTGTGGGTCAAGACTCTGCCATCATTCCATCTCCTCTGAAAGAACACCCCTCTTTGGAATTGAGCAGTACAACTTCATCTCAAGAATTCTCGAAAATCGGATCACCCAATAGATCTCCTTTAGGACTCATCAATGATGCTTTTGAAGAAGAAGATGAAGATAAGTGCAAAGAATATGGAACGATCATAAACGGAAAACGAGCTGTCAGTTTAAAGAACTTCGGGAAATTTGCGCAGAAAGAAGCCAACAGAAAAAAACACGTATCGTACATGTCGAGGTATGTTTATCTACATTAGCGAGATCATTTTCGACTTTTTTTTTTATTTAGATAAACAATAAACTTTTAACTGTTTAAAAAGGCATTTTCACTATTGGATTTCAAATAAAATTTTCTGCTCGAATTTAATGGAATTTTTCACCCAAATCAACGTTTAGGCCAAAATCCAGAATTTGAAAGGTACCGATAAAATAGTTCTGGAGAAATTACATAATGAACTATCTGACTTTTACTATAGAATATGAGACTTTTCATCATAGCTTGGGCAAACTTTTTAATATAAGTCTCAAACTATTCAATCGATTCTCAGTAAGTTAGGACTTTAGGAATTTTCTAGACCAAAGTTACATCGAAAACAGGGTATTAAATATGCGTGACACATTTTAGCTAATATCTTTTTTTTTACTCTATTTTCTGACAAAATAAAGACAATCAAAAATTTGAAATTCTTCGTCAAAAGTTTCTTATTATTGAATGTTAGACCTTCTTGTTAAATTTATGCAAATAATTTTGAGTTCCCTTTCATATTTGGGGGTTCAAAACGTATAGAAATTGTCAAATATCTAAGAACATACGTATAAAATCTTTTCGAACGATACATTTAATGATACCAAACTCGAAATCGCTAATTTCTTGACCCAATGGCGATGCAGGGGTAACTTTAAAATCTTTAAAAGGAATCTAAATTTTTTATTGCAGATTTGGATTTCCCAGAAAAATTATTCCGATTTGACTTGCTGGTTTTAGTATTTTAATTGAAAGGTGGTGCTTTTATTGCGAACTGCAATGGTGTAGAAATTGTTAAAAGTATCGATACCTTGAGAAGCACATGTCAGATGAAGAAAACGTAAAAATGGAATCATTAAATGTTCTAAAATTCTTATCTATTTATACCACACTTGACCCCCCCCCCTTCCCTATAGGAGTCTACCAAGCCTTAGGGGATTTGGAGGGATGTAATTACAGTGCCACTTATGTATCAGAATGTTATGAATCAACCAGCAAGTAAAATCAGCGTATTCTTTTTTTTTCTTTCTGGAAAATCCAAATATGAAATATAAATTTGGGTTGCCTTTATAACATTTTGAATTTTCTCCACTCTAATACCAGGGCTGAGATTTGGTACAATTGAATGAATTTTTTAAATATTTCACAAAGATTTTTTTTTTTAAATTTACGTCCTGATGGATAAAAATTTATTAAATTAAAATTGTTGTGATTATTGAAAAATTAATTTTTGATTTAAATATATATTTGATTATTCTCATGACTATCGGACATTCTGAAGAAATATTTCAATGCAAAAATAAAATTATGTACTTACAGCCGATTTAAATTATCTTGTAACCAATTGTGTACTGTAAATTATTAGTTACAAATTGCCATAGCGAAACGCATGCTTATGCAATTATTATTGAAACTGTTACTCATTATTTTTCCTTTTACTTTCAGAAAAATAAACAGTTTCTCCGGACCCCACATTCCAGTTGGGCATAATGGGAAGCAAGTAAACATTGATATGAAATCTTCAGCGGCGCTCTGGTGATTTACAAGTTGATAAAAAAACAAAAAATCTTGAACGATTCCTGAAACGAAAGTTCCTAAAAACTCGTGGTGTGTACAGAATCGCTACATATCAACTTAACCCATCGCCATTAACTCTCATGAAAATGTGTGGTGTTTGCATGTGTTTTGTGTTCTTTTTTGTTGTACAAACTCTTTCCGTACAATCTGACTTTAAAACGAACTACTTCACGAACTAGGACGAATGATTTTTTTTTCGCGTGAGACATCCTTGTACTGTACAAGAGTTGATTTGTGTACTCCTTATTTTATTTAAAATGCCAAATGTCCTAACTTTATATGTATAATCCTAGCTTTAATTTATTAATTTGCTTGTTAAGACACGAATTAACCAGCATCGTATGCTGCAAGAAGATATGAATTAACCATCAGCATTGAATGTTGCTACAAGATATGAATTAACCGGCATTGAATTCATGTAAAAATCAGTTGTATTTATTTTTGACGGGAAGTGTCTTTAAAGGATGGTTGGTTAATTATTCTAAAATTTTCATTCGATTTTACTATTAATCACTGCCAATGACTAGCCTGAAATGTGTGATCCAATTATTGATATTTGTTGTAGAGTGCCGTCCAAAGAAAATGTGTAAATGCCAAATAGCTTGTGTATTGTATATCGTGTCTTCTAAAATTGTTGTGATTTTAATTGATTTTTTTTAAATGATGGAATTGAAAGCTGTGCTTCATTCTCTAGTCATGAATTGATAATGACTGGAATCGTTGACTTACACGTTTCTGTATCATTGTGAATAAAGATATTTTAAATTACCCAAGTTGGTTTTTTTTCTTCATAAAATGAATTTATTCCCAAGGCAAAATGTATGCTGGTTTTTCCTTGATGGACCAACTTGAATAAAATGGTAACCATCATGACCTTCCATCAAAAACCATCATATTTTATGATGGTACCAACAAGACTGACCACCATCACCTCAGATTATGAATTGGAACTACTTTATGTTCGACCAACATAAACAAAACCACCATGGTTTGATGGTATTTTCCGATGGTCCAACAAAACAAATCCATCAAGAACCAACATGGTGTAATGGTAATTTTTGATAGCCCAACAAAAAAATTAATCAGGAACCAACATATGTTGTTGGTCTAAACTTATACTCCATCAAAAACCATCTTAATTCCTAATGGTACCATTAAGTCTGACCATCACCTCATGTTAAGAATTGCAACTGATTTATGTTGGGCCAACATAGACAAAACCAACATAGTTTGATGGTGTTTTTCAATGATCCAACAAAAAATCCACCAAGAACCAACATGGAATAGAATTACATAACACTTTCAAGCTTTCATTTTAGAATTGCTGTATGATTTATTTATTCATATTTTTTTTAAATAAATTTTATAAGCAATTGAGGCAGTTATTTCCTCAAATAATAAATTTAAAAAAAATCGTAAATGCAAGTTTGTACTGTAAATTTGTAAAAAACAATACAAATAATGAATCCTAAATTATTGTGCTAATCGTTTAACTAAAAGTGATATATTATTCAAACTTTATTATATTATATATTCTATAAACCATATTATTATTCAAAATCTGAAACAATCTGAATTTGGACAATCGTTTTTGGCAGCATTCCTAAATTGCACACCTTTGTGTAAATCGGATCTTTTAACAATATGCTCGTTAAGGTTTCATGTAAAAGAAATAATAATGCATACCTGCCAACTTTTAATCCTTTCGGGGATGATTTTCCCCAGTGGTAGTAAAATGAAATTGATATTACAATTTTAGGCAGAAACATACGTTGCATTTTGAGATAACTTGTGCTGGCTCCCGCGGCTGAAGTACATATCATTATATATACTTAATTTTCTTAAAAATAGTGGTGGTCAAAAAGATTATAAATTAAGTTTATAAATGCAAGCAATATATAGAAAACATACACTTCACTACCACTTTAAATATAGAAATAAAATTTTACGCCAAATGCGTAAAAGTTGGCAGGTATGATAATGTAAAAGTGAAGCAAATATAAAAGTGAATTACTACTGTCAATCTGCAGTAAATGACAGCTATGCCAATTCAATCGAAATTTAGAGCAATTTAACAAGATGGCTGCCGTCTAAGAGGACACAAGCGAAACTTTTCATCTCAAATTCTCTTTCATCTCTATAAGTAATTTAAAATACAGAAAAAGTGAGTTCAGTTTCAATCCCTGAAAAGAATTTCACTTCTCCGTTACTTAATCCTAAGTTATCCTCTCATAATTTGTTTTCATTTTTATATTTTGTGTATTTTTTTTATACTTTACTATACATCAAATAACTTATGTAAAAGAGAATTTGCAATGAAAAGTTTCCCTCCGTGGTATAGCGTACCCTTAAGGTAGGATGGAAAAATTCATTGTCTTTTAATTTATATTATTGTAATACTAACGATACTTTGTATTGTAAAAGTTATACTATAAACTTCATACTTTTACATACATAACTCCTTCGAATTTTTTTGTATTGGCATCAAAAAAAGTTTCATTTTACCTCGGTGAAATTATACTTCGAATAGGTTGCGCGCTAAAAAATAATTACTACTTGAAACATAGATTTTAAAAATTTTTTGAATGAAGCTTAAAATACGCGTTAAAAGAAGATTTATTATGGGTGCTTGAAAAAATAGACTTAGCCTGAAATGTGCTTAAAAAGTGGACATAGCTCAAAAAGTGCGTTTGAGTTTCGATGGCTCAGGAGGTAGAGCGTTCACCCCCCAATAAGGTGAACCAAGTTCGAATCCCAGTGGCTACTGGTCAATACAAATTCTCCTACCAGCTATCTTTTAACCACAGGGTTAATGTAAAATACCCTCAGTGGTAGACGAAGCATGGGCTGGAATCTTCTTGCTAACTGGCTAATGGTGAGAAGTTTTCATAGTTTTCGTCTTCATGCCAAGCAAATACGGTTTAGTCCCTACGCTTGTTATCGGAGTTCCCTTTCCTTTTGTGTTGGATTAAAAATTACAAGAGTAAATTGTTGGAAAATCACTGCGATGTAATGTTGGTCATAAAATCCTTAAAATGTGCCCAGTGCTCAATACTGGTTATTAAAAGTGCGCGTTTAAGAAGAAAAAAAAATTATTTACGGATATGAATATAACATTTGATTCTGTTTATAACGATTATTCTGAATAGTGAATGCTGATTATTTGAAGTGACTTAAACAATAAGCTAATTTTCATATTGACTTGGTAAGCAACTTTTTCAAGAGTATCGTAAAATAACTGCAAAAACTTGGGTTCTTTGTTTAACATTGTACTCCTTATGTTATTTCAATCTTAGTAGGGTATTTACATTTCCTTTAATAAACATTTTTCTTAAATACATCCTTTGAGCTATATCTATTTCCTTAAAGACTCATGTTGAACAATCTCTATTTCTTCAAACACGTATTTCAAATCAAATTTATTTCAATTAACGCATTTCAAACTATATTCATTGTTCATAACTTGCATAACAAGCTATGTTCATATTTTTAAATCCTTTATCCATATCCATTTTCCAAACGCGCATTTTAAGTTTCTAAAATAAATTACCGACGACATGTTATAGATTTAAAAAGATTAATGCAGAAAAACGAGAACGAAACAGTATCCTAATCCAATAAAGTGTTAATTCTTTTTTTAAATCGCAGAAATTAAGTCTTATTTGCCACCTGTACCCATACAAAAAGCTTAATAATAAAATTATTCAACTAATCAAAATGTTTTAATCAGTCTTGTAACAAATCAACAAAACACTTAACGAAAAATCAACAAATCGTGATACTAAGGAGCGATTATCAGAAAATTGCACGAACACGATTTCTCATTTGAACAATACTTATATTACAGAAACAATTATCCACTGAATTCTCATCATCACTTTCAAAGTTAGTTCTTAAACATTTTTTTCTCCATAAAAGAATGAGAAACTGAACTCTAATCATGATGAAAGCGCTTCAAAACAATTTCATTACAAAACACAACAAAAACTAGATCAGTACGTGGTTAGAGCCACTACTTTTCCTTTCAAGACATTAAGACACGTCAAATCTCGCCAACCCGCCAGTTTTAATCTTCATTCCTCAGGATATAGTTCACAGTTACAGTTATAAAAAAATTTATTAGGAAAAAAGGGAAGAGATAGGGGCATTTAGAAACACGTGAACAGAAGTAAATAGCCCGAAAGGCAAATGGTTGTAGTCATTGCCTTGCCTGTAGCAGTTCGCCAACCGCAAGGCCATCCACTCCCAACATGTTCTTCTCATAATGAACCTTTGATTAAAAAAAGAGTTATCTGAACCTATTTTTTTCTAATTGGATATTGCCAAAAAAGACTTTTTTAATTTGTGCTTAATAGCCCATAAATAATGAATTGTTTTGTTATTGTTTTAAATTAATGAAGCATTCCGAAAGTTATACGTGCATAATGAGTCTATGTTTTCTTTGTTGCTAAATAAAGTTTAAAATTATTCACATGTTCAAAGTGTGAGATGTTTACATTAGAGATTAAGTTAACAGGCGTGAAAATATTGTAACTAAATCATAAATTAAAGTTCAAAATTTTCTCAAGTGGAGATGAAACCATTGGGTTAGATAGTTCAAAAAAGCCCCCTCCGTGTCTGAAATACATTTATATAAACATTTCAAATTAGATTACTAACTTTACTGCTAAAAAATTACGCTCTGATCAAATGACTCTTTTTTCCAATTGGTAATCAGACTTAGAACTTAATTAGATAATTTATCCATTAATTAATTCAATTTCCTTTAAAGCATCTAAGAATTCATTTTCGTAAAACATAACGAAAAGATTACTTACTTAATATTACAAGTGCGCAATGGGCGTATTAAATATATTGCTGTATCAAATGATAAAATAAGCCGCATGCTCTTGGGTTGTTCGCCACTGGCTTGCACCGACCACAGTGCTGACGTGAAATAACCTTAGTGGTAGACGGATCATGATAGATGGAATCCCCTTGCCGTCAGGCTAACCGTGGAAAGTTCTCTCCATGTAACGCAAATGTGGGTTAGTTCCATCAAACAGTCCTCCACGAAGGCAAATTTCTCCCAATGCTTGGTCCAGGAATTCCCTTGTCTTCTGCATTAGGTTCAAAATTACAAGGCTACGGAGTTGAACATTAGTAGTTAACCCAAAAAGTTGGGTTGGTTGTTCAATCACGGTATAAAATATTAAATTATAAAATTCTAGTACTTTTTCCCTCACGAGTTTAAAGCATTATGCATATTTATTGTTAAAATAGTACTATTCTCCACCATAACTGAGCATGATATTCTGACAAATTTCCCCCCATGCAAAATGCCTCTCGGGTTTTTTTCCTTCCGCTTGGGCAAACTAGACAAACTGGAGATCGCCCCCCTTTTTCTGCTCCTGTTTTGCTTTAAAATTCATTCGTTACCTTCAATATGCTATGTCATTTGAATTTATCGCAGTATAACCCCTTTAGACTCTCGTGACAGCATACCTTAATTCCAATTCATTCAACTCCATTATACTCTAAATAAGTAACCACTTTTGCCTATTTCAAAGAAAAAATAATTTGTCGCGAACCCTACAGTACTGCCTTGTATTTTAAAAATAAAAAGAGAAAGAGCTTGGAACATTACTAGCAATGGTCGAAGCAATCTTGATTTAAACTGTTGCATTGGTTTTAAAAATATTCGTAACAATGTCACTAACTTACTTTAAATTTATTTATTTATTAAATGTAAAGTTCGTGGCTATATGGCGATAAGTCATACTTTTCTT